ACCAAACCTATATGTTTGGTAATTGGTTCCACTTTGTGTACACTTCGTTCATCATACAGAATGGATTTCTGTTTCTTCTCAGTTGCTAATACCACACCATTTGCAGCTTTAAAAAATAAATAAATAAATAAAGACCTATATATTTAATCATTTTAAACCTCTATTTCAATCATTTTCTAATTATTGGTGGATTAAACCCAAACTACTTTGTTATTTCCTCTAATTTATGAAACCTCTTCTTCTAGATTCCTGTTTTAAATTCTGTATTAAAGTCAACTAAAAAATGGTAAATCAATTTTTCCCTCACTGGTCATTTAAAATGCACTTGAGGGGAGGGGGAATCCCCCAAACTAAAGGCACTACACAACACAACTTCTCTTAAAGTACCATAGGATATCTGAGAATTTACATGTTTTAAAATACACCATATTCTGGATAACTTTGTCCCTGTTCTTATAACATCAAGACTTCTTCTTTAAGAGTACTAAGATATGAAACAATCACATTATCTTTAAATTATGTTTTAAAATGAACTTAGGAAGTCCTAAGTTATATGACAAAAACTGCAAGAGAGCAGCAACACAATCAGTGGAAAAACAAAACAATACTCGATTTTCTGAATGGGAAAGACTACATGTAAGTCATCATCACAACTAATAAAGGTTCTACATTTACTTTAAAAAGAAATTTTAATCACCTCATTAGTCTTTATTTCTATTTTCTTTAAACTTCAAAGTATTCTAAGTTAACAAAAAGAACTTAAAGATTATACTATCACAGCTATTTACTTATAAACTAATTACTACCCCTTCCATCATGAAAACTATTAACAAGCACCTAAAGTGAATAAAGCACTTAATTACCTTTAATTCCCACTGAAGGGGCTCCTCCAGCTACAGCAGCCAAAGCATATTCAATCTGGACAAGTTTACCAGATGGGCTTAAAAGGAAACACAGGTATTTGCTAAGTTCACATTATTTTCAAATGTTTTTTGTAGAAACATCCTGAGTGCAGATGTACAACTCAAATCCCATTAATCAAAACCTAAGCAACGGTTGGCCTGTGATTATCTATATGAAGCTGTTTAGTAATTTTCAAGATGATTTGAAGATACTCATGGTGAATCACAAATTCTATTTCCTTTGGTTGGTTTGTATTTGTACTTGGAATAACAGCATTACTATTGTCTCTTTTCACCACTTACCACCCTTGTGATTTTAGACAAGTTACTTAAGCTTTTTGTTTTCCCATCTGTAAAATGGAGGTCAATAATACATAGCAGTTCTCTTTTTAAAGTGTTATTGCAATGATTAAACGAAATAATGCCTATAAAAGTTTTTGGCATGAATTAGCAGTAAGCAAATTCTGAATGGTAACATAATCAAGAAAATGTATGTGTCTGTTAAAAACCAAAGAGCATGCATTTTCTATGGTTTCTTTCTTTTCTTCTTTTTTTTTTATTTTTTTTAAGAAAATAGACAGGGCTTAACATGCAAGACCTAGATAAGTATCGTTCACAACGAAGCATTCTCCATATAATATAAAACTAATTCTAAGAACCATTAGATGGTTACATTTAACAGCTCCAGTTTCATGAGTTTGGCAGGCAAATAACTCGTCCCAAACTGGCCTTTTAGGTAATACTTTATTTCAAACTAGTTGCTGAGTTACAATCAGCATCACAAACCAACCTCCTCATTTTAGAGAAAAAACAAGAAACAAAATCCTGAATAAAGTAATTGGTTCTGTGTCACCACTGGGTCCATATCTTTACTATTGAAAAATATGAAGATGATCTTAAGCCCCAGAAGGCCATCTGTTTTAACTTCATACAATTAAATCTCATACAATTTCATACACTCAAATCTCAACTTTCACCATCCCACCCTGCTCCAGACACACAGGCTGCTCTTTAGATGTCAAAACTCCTCTGACAAGCTAATTCCTACACATGACTCCCATTTCTCTATTGCCTAATAAACTCCTTTCTGGTCATCCTAGAGTCCTTAGTAGATATGCTATGCCCTCAAGGGATGCCACCCTGTCAGACTAATTTGAATCCCATATAATCATGCCTAAGGTGTCCTATACTTTCTCTTTGGCTAAAGTTCATCATATCATATATGAATTATTTTTATAATATGTGTCTTCCTCAACAAAGTGTAAGCTCTGGTTATTTTTTTAGGAAATAACCTAGTACTGGGAACCCAGAGTCATTTGACTGATAAAGTGGCAGCTTACAGACTAAATAAAATTAGCTGACTTGAGAGGAAAATATTAATAAGCATTTAAATTATAACATTTGGGTAAACTTTTTGACACTTAATGATCACTAATCATAACTTTCAGGGTTCATCTAGCTTTCAAGTATTGTTTTAATACCTCCAGGGAATATTTCAAGACTCATGCAAACTTAATTATCTTTTCTCTGCTCCCAGAGCCACCTATAAATACCTTTATCATTTCAACTTTCTGTGAAAGCTCAATAACCTGCAAGCTTGCTGAGCAACTGAACATGTTTTATAGTCAATAATACCCTCACCTCAGTGTAAAGTACCAGCACCTCTACTTGGAATAACCAAAATAACCTTTTTACTTTACTTATACTCCCAGACAGAATTATCTCTGAAGCATGTTATCCACAACTAAATCCTATAAAAACTTCTTGGTTCCCTTAAAATAAAATGAAAACTACTCACTCTGGCCTGCAGACCCTGAATGGTTAGCCTTCAGCTATATTACCTCCTTGCTCATTATATTCCACCTTCTATCAACTATTCTCTTTACTCCTAAATTTTCAAACAGCTGGCTCCTTTTCATTTTCCAGAATAAAAAATCATTGAAAAATGGATCTTTCCTGATCACTCAAACTAATGCCTCTTCTCTTGTCCTTTTTTAAATAAAACTCCTGGGTAACAAAAAACATTTTTTTTTTTTTTCAGAATTCATCAACTGGCGCCAAGTTGCTCAATTATTGTCAATATCTTCAGCTAAATGTAAGGTACAAAAACACCTTCTTCATCCCATAATCTCTAGTCAGTTCCACCACTAATAGTTTTAATTCTAATCATAACATTCTAAAAAATTTTTTTTTTTTTTTTTTAAATCACAACAGTTGGGCTGGGGATGTGGCTCAAGCAGTAACGCACTTGCCAGGCATGCGCGGGGCGCTGGGTTCGATCCTCAGCACTACATACAAATAAATAAAGACGCTGTGTCCACAGAAAAATGAAAAATAAATATTAAAAAATTCTCTCTCTTTAAAAAAAAAAAAAAAAAAGATTCAGGTCCTATTGGGGCAGTGGAGCACACCTGAAATCCCAGTGGCTCCAGAGGCTGAGGCAGAAGGATAGCAACAAAGCCAGCCTCAGCAAAGGGGAAGAGCTAAGCAACAAAGTGAGATCCTGTCTCTAAATAAACCGCAAAACAGGGCTGGGGATGTGGCTTGGGGGGAGGGGTCGAGTGCCCCTGAATTCAATTCCCAATACAAAAAAAAAAAAACCAAAAAACTATTCAGTCCCTGATGAAATATGGTTGTTTTGTGCCTCAGCTCCACCAAAATTATCCTTAGAGATAAAGAATCTTGTGTGTTATATTCACATAAGTGAACAGTGGTTACTTTGCACATTTTAGTCTCTGTCAAGGTATATAACAAAACCCTTTAATTAAATTAATTTCATTCAAAGTTTGCCAAAACACTATTGCACCCTGACATACTGAAAACTGCCAAGAGGAAGACATTTTTTTTTAATTTTAGTAAGACAACATGTAATAAAAAGTGTATGTCCACTTAATTACTCAATAATGACCTTGGACAAGTTAATTTGTCCAAGTGTGGATAGCTCTTCAGTAACATGGTGGTAGGTAAAGCAGTGGAGGAGGATTAAGTTGCACCAACACAGAAAGTATTCAACAAGTTAGATCCTCTGTGCCTTCAGTAGTCAGACAGGACAACTAAATGGGACATTACTGATCCTTAAGAAAATGGTCAAACTAGAATCCTTCCCTGGTCATTTTTAAAAATTCTTCAGTGATTGTTTTCTTACTTTGGGTACGATGTTTCACCTCAACTGTATTTTGAGAATATTACTTTAATTCCCTGTTTTATAACAGAAAAACCTAAACTCTTTAAGCATTCCTCCGTACAAAACCAAAAAGACCAAAACATATATTGTAGCCTAGTTATTTTGGGGCCCACAACAACCTAATTGATAGAAACATCAGCGCTTTCATTTTTCAGTCCTTACGCTTCTAATTGGGACACGGAAGAAACCGAAAGCATAAGTTTCAAGACACTAGGACCAAACTGTAACCAAGACTCCGGCCTAATCGTAAAGCCAAGATTCTTTAAAAAAAAAAAAAAATGCAACTCCACATATTTAGTGGAGATTCCGAGTTTCAGGCACTCCTGCATGGGGCCTACTTTGGTCAAGAAGGAAATTCTGAATTCTGAACGGGTCACCAGGAGCAAGCTAACTCCTCCTTTTCTTGTATTCAAGGCGAAAGTGAAATCCTGCCTAGCAGCTTCCCGGTCCCGCAATCTCCAGTTGTCCCCAGGTCCCCCAAATGGGCTCCTAAGGCCTGCCGGAACCATGACTTTCGAGGCTTTCCCGTTCCCCAGCCGGCCTGGCAAATGACTTTGCAAAGCTGCATTTCCAACTCCACTTCCCATTGGACCCTCCGGAAATTCTAAGACACAAGCCACTTCAAATAAAGTGGGGTCGGGTAGTCTCCTGCAACCTTTGCTACGTGCAGGACCCTGGGGTCCCTTCAATACCTGAATGTAGTCAGCGAGAAGCTGTAACCGCGCTCAGCCATCTTTACCCGGAGAACCAAAGCACACTCGCGCACATGCGCACCGCGGTCGATTTCTTTCCATTTCCCCGCCCTCTTCCTTTCCTTCTTTTTCTCTGATTGGAGCAGAGTCAGAGCCACCTCAGGGGCATTCTGGGAGTTGTAGTTCTATAAGGTAGATTTGCCCGACTCTGGGTCTTTGTGCACATTCATAGGGGCAGGATCCAGCAGCCCAGTGAGTTCCGTTTTCCGGCAATGAAGATGGCGTCTGGCATGCTCTTGGTTGTGGTGCCCCCGTGGCCCGCTGCACGGGGGCTGCTCCGAAACTGCTGGGAGCTTCTGCAGCGAAAACTTCAAAAGAGCTGGCCAGGGTATCCAGCTCCTCCGTGGGGTAGGTAAAGAAAGGCTCCGTAGGAAGTGGATCAATGAGGCAGGCTGCTTGGTAGACACAGTTCCTGGTTTTTGTCCTTGGCCTTTCTCATTCCCGGAGGCGCATAGGGGGACGTGGTTCCTTACTTTAGCCAGGAAACCATAGCAGCTATTTGTGCGCATCGAGCAAATAAATAAAATTTCTGTTCTTGTCCATTCGTATGTAAATTGGTACCCAAGCGCCTTAGCTTGTTAAGGATTAGCACAGCCGAATTTTGTTAAAATGCTGAAAACAGATGCTTTCGAGTAATTTCTGAAGGAAGAAAGAACTGAGTTTCATTCCAATTTACAGAGGTGATACGGGCGTTTTAAAAGGAGAATGGAGGCAAGTGAGTCGGAAGAGTAAGAGAAGTGAAATGGAGCGAGGGGCTGGTTGGTCATTGTAAGTGGGATTAGTACAGCTGTGTCTCCTAGCTCGCAGGTATCCAAGGTAGAGTTCTGTTCGCACAAAACAGACCGAGAGACAGAAGCCTTCTTGATCATTGATTATATTCCAAAGGAATGGCCTTGGGTTCTTGAGAGAGACGCTTTGGAGGTGAAAGTGATATGTCTTTACAATTGTAATTCCTTTTTAGTAGATCCTGTAAGATAAGGAATTCAGGTGCCTATTCAGGTGTGTATTGGCTAGACCAAAAATAAAGTTTCCTGTTAGCGTGAAACTTTCTCAGGCTTAAACTTTAAGGAGAGCTGAGGTCATCCCAGGGACATGACTTTATGTTGCCAGAAGTGGTGCTAGAGTTCGGTTAAGTCTCATTTGTCCAGGAGTTTAGAGTTGTCCTGTGTGTATACTTATGCAGTTCTCAGTTGGCACTATGGCTGGCCACTGTGGATCCCAATTCTCATTTCTTTCAGTTCCATTGTCCACAGGATGCAACTTGTTCTTCTCTGTGGTGTTTGAGCTCTGTGCAGATTAATTCTGATTCCTTATATTCGTTGAGGAACAAGTTTTAATTGAAAATATTTTGGATGTTAAAACTGTTATTGCTTTGACATTTACTAAATATCCCCAAAGTGATAATACCTAGGCAATCTAAACAGATACAGACCAAGAAAATATGTACTACAATATACCAAACACTGGGCTAAGTACATTTTCACCAACCACTTCCTGGGATAAGCTTCTCAACAATCCCATTAATTTTCACCACTTTTCAACTGAAGAAATAGACTTAGAAAAATTTCAGCGTCCCACAGACAGTCCAGATTCTGCGTTATTAACCACTGGGCCATGCTTAGCAATACTTTTAGATCTATTGAAAAAGAATACCAGTTGTTAAATATAGAGAGTTTTATGTACTTTTAAGAGTTCTTAAAAAACAAAAGTAGTATTGTAAGTCTCAAGAATAGCCAAGGAGTAAAGGAATCTCTTTGATTTTTATAAGCAATTTAGAAAAACAAAAATGAGACTTTGATAGTCACATAAATAAAAAATATACAAAGAAATGGTGAGCTGTCTTTTCTATAGTGATCAGACAGGAGTCAAGATTAAATATTATTGAAGAACTTAGAGATTTGAGGAACTTACCATGTGATTTGATAAATGAACTAATTTTTAAGAGGCTAGTACACAGTTATCCCAATGCAGGTCAGAAGTGCATTTAGTCATTTTTAATCAGATCTACATGTACATTAATTAACTACTTAGCTGCCCACCAAGTAAAATGTGGACAATTGAGTGATTTTGTTTCTTCTTCTTCTTCTTCTTCTTCTTTTTTTTTTTGAAGTTAGGCACCTGTCATTCTTTTATTCATGTTTACTACTAAATTCCTGAGTTCTATACTACATGAGATGAGAAACTCTTGATGTAATTTCTCTTAACTCATTTCCGCAGTTTTTATTAAAATAAATTTCTATTTGTGTTCTTTAAGTTATCCTTTCTTTATTAGCTTTAATTCTATATATTTTACTAGCTAAGGTTTCATGTTAAATTTCTATTGAACATTCTAAACTATCAGTATGTCTACACATTTGTGTTGGTTAACATATCATGGTTGGTTAGCAAGAATAGTGATATCTGTAAATAGTCTCTTAGGAGCTAGAAACTGATTTTGTATCTCCATGTTTTATTTTATAGGACCAGCATTAGCAGTCCAGGGTCCAGCCATATTTACAAATGATTCCTGTGGAAGTAAGGAGAATTCCAACTTTTTGGATAACATCTTTTGGATGGCAGCTCCCAAAAACAGACGCAGCATTGAAGTGAACCGGTGTAGGAGAAGAAACCCTCACAAACTTATTAAAGTTAAGGTAATGTGTTGATTTTTGTGGGTGTGCTTTTCCTCAAGTCTGTCCTTGAGTAGCCTCACGGTCTGCCTATCATTCAGCCTAAGTGAAATACAATATTCTCATTAAGTAAGTGTGCTGTCCTCTAGTCTAAATATTAAAAGCAGTCAGGGAAGAAGTTCAGAGAATTTTACATTAAGGACTAATCAGTGCTCACATACAAAAAAAATTATAGACTATCCACCAAACCTATGATTTCTATACAGAAATTCAAATCATATAGTAATAAAGCAGAGGAAAACAGGTTATAATCTTGTCAACTTGTTTTCCACAAGATAATTGAAAGTGAATTTATCTTTCCTTAGTTTCTTACTTAGGATGCTGTCTACATAGGTCACCCCACTGTGTTGATGGACTCATTATGGGATATTTAGTATTTGAAGCTGGGGAATAGAGAACCTTTTTATATGAAGATGACTACTGTATTTAAGTAAAAATGTATCAGATACAATGTTTGTAAACCTGATATCTATTCCCAAATTTTCTATTGATTCAAATTCAGTGTTCCTTTTTTTCAGTTTCCCTATTAAAGTGAGGTTGAACTAGATGGTATATGACTCATGTAGCCCAAACACTTCTCAGAAAGCTAAGATGTAAGTATCTCTAAAATGGAAGTATTATATATGTTTTTGTTTATTATGTTTTTGTTTTAAAGAACAATATAGACATTTGTCCTGAATGTGGTCACCTGAAACAGAAGCATGTCCTTTGTGGCTATTGCTATGAGAAGGTGTGCAAAGAGGCTCGAGAAATCAGACAGCAGATAAGGAAGCAAGAAGGGGGGCCTTTTAAGGCTCCTACAGTGGAGACTGTTGTGCTGTACTCAGGAGAGACACCATCAGAAAATGATCAAGGCAAGAGGATCATTGAACGAGATAGGAAACGGCCATCCTGGTTCACACAGAATTGACTCCAGAGATATTAAAAGGATAACTTCACAGTAAAACATTTATGCCGAAACAGAGGAAGAGTCTTGGTTTTTATGTTGTGCTTGTTATTAAATCATCAATAGAGTTTAAATTATACTTCATAAGTAGTTGGCTTTATGTGAGTTAACTTAAAGAATATATCATGAGTAAACTCTTAAAATGTTTATGGAAAGGCTCAATGGATTAATATATCTGTTTCTATTATACTTTTGGGTTTTAAGTAAACATTAGATTTCCACACAAAAATAAAAAATTTACAATTGATAGCAAGAATTACCTGTTTTGCTTTTCATTTTATTTGCCAGTGGTTTTTCTTAGACAAGCAGAAACACTAGTACATGGAAATAGGGTGGTATTTTAACTCTGGGTATTATTTTTTAAGGTCATAGTTGTGTCAGTAAGAAAGGTTTTCTTCTATTTTGTTTTGTTTAAATGATAGAAATAATTCCTTACATTTTACATTAAATCAGAGACATTCAAAATTCATTAGATAGCTCACAAAATCTGAATTCCATAGTTAGGGAAATGAATTTTTAGTAAAGATAAGAGCACATTTCTCATACATCAAAAAAATGTGTGAAGGATGTTGACTGCATTTTACTTATATCCTTTTATTGTGCACTTTGTCATCTTTATCTCTTCATAGCAATAACTTTTTAACTTCTGAAATTCATTTTTTATTTTTTTCCTCCCTCTCCCACTCCTGTATCTGCCCTGTGTCTGCCCTGTGTCCCAGATTTGCTGTTTTGTTTCCTGCTTTGTTTAAAATGAAAGTGAGACAGCTTATTGAAACACATGGTAATAAGAATTAAGGAAATTACAGGTAAGGGAAAAAAATCGGTAAACAGATAAAACAAAGCCCAGGGATGTATTTAAAACAAAATGAATGCCACAATAATCTGAACATTACTAGAATTAGGCAGTAAATTGACCCTGAAGTTTATTTATTTATTTGATATTGGGAGTTGAACCAAGAGGCATTTTACCACTGAGCTACATCCCCAGCCCTTTTTATTTTGAGACAGGGTCTCACTTAAGTTGCTTAGGGCCTCCCTAAATTGCTGAAGCTGGCCTTGAACTTCAGATCACTTGCCTCAGCCTCCCCACCTGCTGTGATTATAGTTATGTGCTACTGTGCCCAGCTGAACTTTATTTTCTTTGGAAAGGGAACATTGACTTAAATGGAACAGTCTCCATAAGGTACATTGCTATATTGGAACTGAAGCCTAAGGAACACTTCTATGGAGCTTCATATTAAAGATTGTCATGGGGTACTCCATGTTGCTAATTCTAGAGGTAAAAGGATAAATTTCATAGGATACACTATAACCCAGTGTTCAAGTACAGTTCTGTAAAAGGAAATCTCTTACGACTTCCAAAGTATTGAAAAGTCCTTGGTTCAATCTAAACAACAACAAAAAAATTTTGAGGATCTAGAAGAATTAGTTATATGCATATTACTAATGCATAATTATCTGTAGATAATTGCTTTTTACATTGCTGAATCACAAAAGTATTACATGTCAAACTTAAGGCAAATGTCCTTGAATACAAAATTAACTAAGTTCAAGAAAGCCAAAATTGGACTATGTCTATCTGAATATATTCCACTGCTGACTCAGTATTGTCAGTTAACTAGTTGACTAATACATTGCAAATTGTATTTCTAAGTAACAGATTGTCCTTTGATGTGGACTGACTGTCTTCTCCCCAAATTCACACCATGTTCAGTACCCAGTGTGATGGTGTTAGCAAATATGGGGCTTTGGGGAGGTTTATTAGGTTATAATGGGTGGAGCTCTCACAAATGGGATTAATGCCCTTGTTAGAAGGGTCGCTAAGTTTCCCTATTATCCACCACATAAGCATATAAGAAAAAGGCCATCTGCAAACTAGGAAGCCATTCAGTCCTTATTAGAACTGAATCTGCCCCCAGAGTGTGAGAAATTATTTTAGGCACCCAAACTGACTATGAAAGCTCTATTTTACGAAGATTATGTGGGCAGGGTCACCATTTTATATCCAAATTAGGCAATAGATAGCAAAACCATATTTCTAGTTCATGTTGGACAACCATGTCATAAAAATGATTATGATTTTTTTAGGAATGGATTGCCCCCTCAAAATTATAATGCATCTTATTGCTTCATACCTCCCGTTTTTACTCTCAGAAAAGAAGAGCATCATGAGTTATTCAGAAGAGTAGAACCAATAGAATATATATGAGGGGATTTATTAGGGCCTACATAATCAGGCTGCATGGTCCTACAATGGGCGTCTGGAGACCTGGAGAAACAAGTAGCTAGGTACTCAGTCCAAGAAGCTGGAAGCCTCAGGACGAAAGGAACAAAGGATGCAGCCTTAGTCCAAGGATGACAGCCTGGAAGGCTTTTGGAGAGTCACTGGTTTAAGTCCACACTCAAAAGCTTAAGAATTTGGAGGTTGGTGTCTAGAGAATGAAAACAGCAAAAACAACACTCACTAGAATGAAGTGTGGGTGTATATGTGAGCTTCTCCCTTTCACTTTTATTCCATCCAGGTGTCCAGCCTATTGGACAGTGCTGTCTCCATTCAGGGCAGGTCTTCACTCAGTTCTGTGACCCACATTGCCAATCATCTCTAGAAAACACTCTCACAGACACTCAGAAGTGTGCTCTACCAATTTCCTAGGTGTTTCTCAGGTTAATTTACAACCAAGATTAACCATCACAGTAAGTTTGAATTCAGTCACTTATAACTGATTCATTCATGTGTTGAACATTAGAAATTAACACCCTTACTCCTACACCACTACATTAAGACATTTTACTGGACTATTCTGGAGAGACTTATCCTTGACCCTGATAATTCCAGCTTTTCTCCCTTTTACATCCAACCTGTGAGCAAATCTACTAATCCCACTGGTCCTACATTTAAAATATGCTTCAAGGGGCTGGGAATGTGGCTCAGGCGGTAGCGCGCTCGTCTGGCATGCGTGCTGCCCGGGTTTGATCCTCAGCACCACATACCAACAAAGATGTTGTGTCCGCCGAAAACTAAAAAGTAAATATTAAAAAAATTCTCTCTCTCTCTCCTCTCTCACTCTCTCTTTAAAAAAAAAAAAAAAATATGCTTCAAATCTAACCACAAATTCCACCTGCACTGCTACCATCCCAATCGGAGCTTCCATTATCTTGTTTAGAATATTGAACTGACCCCTACTTGATCTCCCTGCTTCCACCTCAGTCTCCCATGGTCTGTTCTCAACACAACAGCCAGAATCATTTCAGAACAGATGTCGTCTTCTCTGTTCAACACCTTTAATCAAAATCTTGAGGACTTTTGCTTATGCAAAAAATTATCTTTCATAGTTGGACGTGGTGGTGCACACCTGTAATCCCAGCATCTTGGGAGGCTGAGACGGGAGGATTTCAAGTTCAAAGCCAGCCTCAGCAAAAGTGAAGTGCTAAGCAACTCAGTGAGACCCTGTCTCTAAATAAAATACAAAATAGGATTGGGGATATGGCTCAGTGGTCGAGTGCCCCAGAGTTCAATCCCTGGTACCAAAAAAAAAAAACAAAAAGAATTATGCTTCATGTTTTTGATAAACCAAAAATACTTTAGATGAATTATGAATGATCCCAATTTAAAGAAATTATTAGATCTTTTAAAAATATGAATAATTTCATAGTCTGTGTGGACAGAAAACTGATCATATGTTTGTGGCAAATTCAAGATTTCTTCTTTAAGGAAGTACAAAGAATAGGAGCCTTAAGACATTGGTGGTATGGAAATTGCTTTTGCCCTCTCCTCAGAGAACTATTTTCCATCTCTGCCTTACTATGCAGTTGTTATGTTTCAGGAGCAGGATTTGCCCCTCATTATTTTAAAATCCATTCTACGGAACTCTACTGTCTATGGTTGCATTTCTTTTCTTGGCATATACACAAAAATAGATACTCTGTCTTCCACTGCAACTCTTAAGGAGCACAGTATTATGTGATAACATTGTCATCTGTGTCTCCGTGACAGAATGGTGGTGTCTCTTCCAACTGATGTCCCTCACTGGTTTCAAGGGCATCTGGGTCAGCAACACCTAAGATAAATTAATGGCATGTCCCCTGCACTCAGTGCATGCCCTGACCTACCCCTTTTAACCTTATTGAGAACACTCCTCGAAAAGCTCATGCCTTCGTGTTTTCTGCCTGTTTCTCTGTTGTTCCCACTGATTTGAACATCCATCTTCTCCACATTTGGGAAGTTACAGGTGAGGGTTAGGGATGCAATTTAGAGCAAGGATGGGAGGAAAGCTATAGAGGGCCAACGGGAATGCTAAGCAAGCTTGACCATTTAAGCTTTGAAAACATCAGGAACTGGCACAATTTAGCCAGGCATTACAATGCAGTCTCGCTAGGGGGCAGCAGGTGAATTGCACTGAGACTCTTAAATAAAATAACAAGGTGTCATTACTGTGGACATTGTCTGCTTGTACCAAAGCCATCATCCTGTGGTTAGCAGACAGAATTGCTGCGGGGTAGAAAAGTCTGCAATGCAGAGTGAAGGCTATCCTCATTCATAACCCTGTTTAGAGCTTCTCTTCCTTTGCCAGGGGATCAGTGTTGCTTTCTTTCAGGGTGCTCTCCCTGACCTTTTTTTCCTACACTATACTCTTGGGTACTACAGACTGCTTAATTATAAAATCCTTCACAAGAGCATTGTCCAGGATAAAAGCTCAGAATGCTACTGCTATGTAGCTACTTCTCCAATATTCCCCAATATTAACATTTCAGCATCTGGAAAAAAAAATACTGAGTTTCTCCCTGACATTATTCTGATTCAGTAATTCTCAATCAGGAGTAATTCCCTTCTCATCCCCAGGGAACAACTGATCAAGTTTACAAACATTTTTGATTGTCATAACTTGAGAGGATGTCTAGTGCTACTGGATTCTAGAGGGTAAAAACCAGGGATGATGCTCAACAGTTTCCCCTACCAGACTCAATAAAGCAAATTGTATTTTGAATTAAAAAAGGGACATGAAAATATTTTAATGTTATAAAAGTCTCACTGTGCCCTCTTGTCTTCTCCATGCTTTAAAGTCTCAGAGATAACTCTCTTGTCTGTGCCTCCAAATCTAATTTTCTTATAGATTTCTACACACACGTGTCCAAGTAATACAAGATTCCATTTGAACGTTACAAACATCTTTAACACATCATACTCTTAACAACTTTTCCATGTTTTCCTTCTAAATTTGCTTCTCTGGTAACCTAAATTGGTTTACTTATTAATTC